ATTGTTTTACAACCTTTTTCTGTGTTTATTTTTTTAATTCGCTGAATATAGAAAACATTATTGGTAATTAATATAACCTTCTTTGAAAAGTTTGTGTATTTTCTTGTGGCGAAAAGAATTGAACTACCCAATAGAATATGGAACAGAAAAAAAAATACTGATCATGTATAAAATTAAATCTATTTGTCTAAAAAATTTTTTGTAGTAAAGTATATTATAGGATTTCAAAGTAAGCTTTCGAATAGAAATAGTTGTTTGGCAACAATACTTGAAGAAACTATAGAGCATTCGATTTCAGCTCACTCATATAGCAAACAGGTCAAGTAGCAAAGATCTACCTTCGATCGACCTTGACCTAAGAAAGTGAGTTTTGAAAAAGAAATTAAATTTTAAATTTCAAACATTTTGTGAGTATTTTTAACGTTGGTTTCAAAAGCAGTTCTAAAAATCGATCATCCCGACTTGTGTTGCAGAGAAATTTACTAACATAACATATAAACACAAAGTACCGCCAAGTTTGGTACAACTATCTATTTGTATTTACATTTACTGTTAGCTTTAGTACAAATATCTGTGAGACATGTTTAAATAAGAAGCTTTTTAGGAAACACGCGGTCCTACATCCTGAATAACTAACTCCAAAATTTTAAGGCATAAATTTGTCTGGCTGTATATTATTCCTATTTATTCACGTAGTTCACTAACGTTGTATAGTTTGGCAAATGAGTATATTACGAAAGTTCTCTGTGAAAATAGTCATTGCCCTATTTCCCAAGGGTATCTTGCTAGACACGGCCAGTTATACAACGAAGGCAGCAGCAAATTCATACGAAGCAAAATTAAATTCTGAGAGTAAAACATATCTACCTTTTTTTTATAATTCTAAGTTTGTGTGTATAAAAAGAATTAATAAAAACTTAAATAACTTATTAATAGAAGGTACTAATTAAAACCAACAACATATTAGAAAAAATAATGGTTTTTAAATAAGCTTTATTGTCAAACCGAACTAATAGATAGAAAAGGCTTCCATTATCTACCTTATTCGTTGCTTCACCAGACCAAGCCTAATTCGATAAACTTCTAAAAACGAATGATTCAAGATTTACAAGAAGCCACGGGAGAATTTCACTGAAATGGTTATTTATTTGACCATTTATGACAAAACACTTTTTATCATATTTACTTCATGTCTCCATTATCTGATCAGCTCACAGATGAATGTCATTTGGGATCACATTATCTACATACGACAAATAGAAGTTGGTTAAAATTAATAATAATAATAGTAATAATATACTATATACCTCACACACGGCCGCTTAATCCCAAACTAGGCAGAGCCTGAACTATGGTAACCAGACTGCTGAAAAACATACTTATATATTTTTAAATACATACATATTATAGATAAATTACATCCAGACACAGAACAAATGACTGTGCTCATCACACAATATTTGTCCTGGGTGGGAATCGAACCCACGACCTCCGGCTTAGCAGTCAGGGTCACTAACCACTATACCAACAGGCCCGTCAAATTGACTTCTAATATTGGATGAAACTAAACTAACTTGTCTATTAAAGGTCCATATTACCAAACTAGGTTGGGGTCAGCTTCCAATCTACGATGGTACAACTAGACTTGGCTTTTTTTACGTGGAGCAACTTTTACTTGTTTTTTTTTTCTTTGTTAAAAAAGACAACTCCCGCACTAGGAATAAATCCTGTGTCGCGGGGGACTTTACAAACATACATGAAACGGACACAAAGTACACCCAGACTCGGAACAACATTTTGTGGATCACACAAAGTGTTATTCCATGTGGGGTTTGAACCCACAACACTCGGCGTAATAGGAAGCAGCGTGGCGACCGCTTAAACCACTACGCCATCCGTGCAGTCTGCAACTGCCATTAGACCTCCACAACTCAAGTACTAGGCGATGTCGAAGTTCTGTGGAAAGATTGTTGTCTGTCTTTTTAAGGCTCCAACTACCCGTAACGATTGCCGCAGATGTTCATATCACAACTGGGATCGACAGCTTAACGTGCTTTTTAAGGCATGAAGCATTCAATGTGTTACCCATCCATAGACTGACCTGGGTATGAATGTTTAATTTACTCGGTTACCACCTAGCCACAAGTCATTCTCCTGAGTTTTCTCTATTAGAAGTAAAGCTGATAAAAACGATTTAAGTAAATTCCCATAAAATATTTTATCGATTAAAAACGTTAATAGGTAACTACAGGCTGCAATAACTATTCTCAGATCAGTATCGGGATCATGTATAATACCCAACTTACCAACTTCCTCACAAGTGAAACCAAGTAAGGGACTAGAGAAACCAAAGTTAACCGGTTCAGATAATCGTTTGCAAGAGAATTCTCAATTTGAACGTAACCTATTATCAGAGTTTCAATATTTACGACGTTACAATAAGGATATTTACATGGGCGGAGGTAGCCGCTTACCACCAGGTGACCCATCTGCTCGTTTGCCCCCTGTTCTATAAAAAAAGCTGTTGTGAAAGACTGTTTTCAAAGACAACTCCTAGACACGCTAGTAATAAATCCTGTGTCGTGGGGGACTTTACAAACATCCATGATGCGGAAACTGAGAAATTTCTGGATCATACAAAGCGTTGTTTCATGTGAGGATCGAACCCATAATACTCAGCGTGGAAGGAAGGGGCGAGGTGAAGTTGAAAATGAAAATAAGTTGAAAATAAGACTTATAAAAACTCAGTTTTATCTCATATTAGCCCGTTTTAAGACCTTATGTGAATCTAATTGAGGTTACTTCAAAAGAAGAAAATCTTAAGTATGAAAAATAACAAAATCTTATTTCTATACAGTTAGTAACTTTGAACGAGCCATTTCGTACATACGATTAACATTTTAAATTTAGATAAAAATTGTGTTTTCAAGTTTACTTGTAGAAATGTAAAAACAAAACGTAATATTGTTAGAATTCTTTTACAAAAAAAGGACGAGAATTTAAGCCACCTTGGTAAGAATACTAATGCTATACTTTGAGATATATAGTGCCAGACTATAAGCTATTTTCAGTAAACTTATGAATGAGTTTGATAAAGTTTGAAACGAAATAACAAGTTTTTTTAGGCTTTTAAACATTCAATGTTCTTGTAAAAGGTGAATAAGACAGTGAGATAGCTTTATGTAAGTAATACATTTATGGAACTCCATACGGCACGTGCTACATTACGTTTGAAGAACTGGCTAACCAGTTCTTCAAACGTAATGTAGCCTTAATAGAAAACTTTTGTCAGAAACACGAAAAACGTACCTATACCAAATATAAAAATAATCGTTAAGCTGTTACTTGTGTAGGAGTATATTGCCGACTTCGTTCGTTTGTAGATCCTTATTTTTAAATCGCATCTGAATAAAAGGAAAGATCTTTTTTTAAATAAGGCTTCATTTTTATATTTTATTATAAAAACAAGACCGCCTTGTATTATGTCAACAGCTTCCACACACAAAAATGTGATCTACCACACTTATTTATTTCTAAAATTCGTTATATCTCCAAGGAAGAAAAAACGAAAGGTTTTAAAACTATATAATTTATTTTTCCTTCTTTAAGTAAATTTCAAAGAGCACTCAAACGTTTTATCTGATTTTAAAATATTAAATCCTTCTAGAATTGGCTTGGGTTTCAGACTTTATTTTTATAACACTTAAGGCCCGTATTTTAAAATGTGTCTCAGCCAGCATCAATTGTTTGACAATTCAACATGACAAGTGTTGATAAATAACTTGAATGTTCCGTTACAGCTTATGACTAGTCATTTTTATTTTAATATTTACTATATTTAATTTTGGACAAAAAACAATGTTAATTTGTTCACACAATAATTAGCTGCGTAATACGGAATAATAATTTCCAACATGCGGAAACGTAATTGAGAACAGACTGTAAGTTCAAATCAATCAACTTAGTAAAACTTAAAACGCGTTCAATTATAAGATCGACGCTTAAGTTTTGATCTGAACTTAAAACTAATTTCAGATAATCAGATCTCAACCAATACTTAAGACGTCTTTTAAAATACGAGCTTTAGTTTGAGATCAGAAGTGTAACTGTCGAGTACATCAACCTTTATAATCTGTTCATTACATTTTTTTAGAATATTGTATTCATAGGTCAAGAAGCATGCAGTTTTGAAATAAATGAAAGGCTGCAGTAAAAAAATTTACACTTTTAAGTATCTCAATGTAATCAATTATCAAAACAAACAATTGTGAATAAGTATTTCTACACTCCATTTATTTCAATATTAAATAGGTATTTTTTTTATTTGATAGTTTTACCAAGTACTTAGAAAGGCATCTTACTACATTACAACATTCAGGTACTACAGGATATTGTTATGATACGATGCTATATACTCGTTGGCCTAAAAATAAGTTTGTGCCGAGTGCACTACCGACGTAAACTCATAGCACAAGCATTGAGCTTATACTTCAGTACCATCTGACGAAGACACACCGAAATACATACTATTGATCATCTGATCCTCGACAGTGCAATGAAAATTTTCGAGCCGATTAGTATAATATATAAATATTATCATTAAACTTCGCAACATGACCCATGGGTCCGCAGTGGGACAGGCATGAAGACCACGCATCGCCGGAGGATCCTCACTACGTGTGGGAGAGACCTGTAATACACCTGTAATAAATGATAATTTTAATGTGACAAACGATGCTAGTATTCCTTATAAATAGGCAAAAATATTTGATTTTGTAAGTACTGTGTTGTTATTACCCCAACAATATTTGCAATTACCGTAAATCGGCACTAGCGACATCTGACTATAAAGTCCTCTGGAACAAGCTCCGTTTCAGGCAATATGTAGATTGTAATTAAGAAGTTTCAAGAAAATATTTTTCACTCAAAAAACTAGTGTACACATATTTTAATTCAACAATATTATTGGTATACTAATTCACTATGTAATTTGTTCTCAGCTTCCGTGGCAAGGATTGCAAAGTTCTTGGGAATGAACGGCACACCCATGCTAACAACTGGCGGCTTTACCTTCGACTTCGTGAAGCCAAAGCAGACTTGTGAAGACGAGTTCTATATGCTCGTGAGGGCTGGACCGTTAGGTTTCAAAGACCTGGCGTATTTCATCATAGACTTGATGAGACAGTGAGTATTATTTCCGACCGTTTTGAAATAATAACATAGAAAGAGAACTTGTTTTTTTAAATTGATGAATGTATCAAATTTAAAAAAGTATTCGTTTTTGAAAAATTAAAAACATATTTATTTACTTCTAAATTACTTTGTCTCCTTTTGTTATAAAGCAATAAAAAACAAGGACTCTTATTATAATAGTTCCAATCTTGTCATTTATTTTCCAACAATAATATGGCTTTTCCGATTTATGAATATACGTATTTATTTATGTAAAGCATTAGGTAGTTATTTAATACAGCAAAGTTTAGCCTTCTACTACTATCGTAACTATTCTAACATATGCAAACTCATTAACACTGTTAAAACATTAACGCATATTCATAAATTGTAAGAACTATTTACATACCTAACAAAATATCTCGATTAAGTTAAGTTTTATTCATAGCAGCGCAAATCTTTGTACATTCTATAGTGCTCATTTATTTCAAAAATTTCAAAGTATAGAAAGTACATTAATAGAACTTTATGTTTAAATATAATTGAAATTCCTAATTATAATGTCAAAACATCAGCTTTTTACTAATATGCACATAATAATATATGGGCTTCTTTACGTAATTCATAAGTCTATATGTATATTTCGGATAATCTCGGTTGGGCTTATTTCCCTGACTGAAAGCTGATGTTAAAAAATGTAACTTAGGATATTTTGAAAAGATTTATTAAAAAAAACATACAGGAGAGTTGCAGCGAGTATCGCCAGTTTATCCTGTATTTACGGTCTGTTAAACTACATTTTCGTCAATTTTCAACCTTGGACGTATAGAACAAGTTATTTACAGACAAGTAAGTAAGTGTGAGAGTGGTGGTGGTGGGATAAGAGGCTTTTTATCACTTTAAGCAAATAATTATCGCTAAGCACACCAGTGTATAACACACACTTTATTTTTTGTGACCAATTTAGGGCTTCGCTATTTTGTAGTAACTATATGGGGATTAAGTCTTTTTCTCAATTTTTTTTGAATTTGCCAAGAAGCATGGTCATGATACCTTACCATTATGAATCAGTAAAATAAATAGTCAAACAAATTGTACAGACCTCCTCGGGGTGCAATTTTACTACGCGCTTTTATTTTACTTGTAATGTTTGTATGTTTCTTCGGTTCAAATATTTTACGTTTTTATACGTGTATAGTTTAGATACTAATAAATATAAATTGATAGTAAACCACCTAATGCTGAATAACATTATATTATTAATGTGAAAGTGAGTTTGTTTATTTGTTTGTTACGCTTTCACGCCTAAACCACTAAACCGATTTTAAAAATAGGCCCGTGAAAGTGTGTGTGAAAGAATTTTTAAAATCGGTTTTTGTGGTTTAGGCGTGAAAGCATAACAAACAACTAAACTCACTATCACATTTAAAATATAAGTATGGATTCTCTCTGCCGCTACCACAGTTTCCAGATATAATCCACTGTCAGAAAAACCTTTCACAAGGACATCAAACTTGGTTTGGCAAAGAATTATCTGCAAGCAATTTGAAAAGATGGATTTTTTATTTGTAAAAGAAAATATCCTTCGTTAAGTACTAGTAAAACCCAATATAAAATAGGGTAGTTAAAATAAGGTAGCTAGTAAGGTTTTTAGCATCTTTTAATATATTTTTTAAGAATACCGATGTAAATTTGCCATGTCTTTATACCTAGACAGCAGTAATTACATTCGGCCTATATTGAAGATATCCCTTACTATAAAACAGGTTTTTATGTAGCTGGCAATGTACTAATCTTTGTGGTATATATACCAGCAGAATATAATTTTAATTGCATTCGATTCAAATGAAATCACGTTTCTAATAAATGTTTTCCTATATGTGACACTCTTAAATTAATTAACACACTATGAAGTAGATTAAAAAAATGCATTCCTGCATAAGCTGGCAACCGAATCTTGAACTGTCACTTTAACAAATATTACTATGTTAATCTATGAATATATTAACGTAAAATCAGCTGTCTGAATTGTTCAGATATCTGTTGGCTTTATATATTACTAGCTTTTGCCCGCAGAAGTAATCTATAGCACTCAGGGATAATATACCTTTCTAACAGTGAAATAATTTTCAAAATTGGATCAGTAGTACCGGAGATTACCCCGAACATACAAACTCACAAACTGTACCTCTTTAGTAAAACCTCTATAATATTAGTATAGATTAAAAAAAAATATCTTTTTTTAAGGCCTGAGTTTTAGTTAAAAAAAAAATGAATCGCAGCCACCTTTGCGGTCGGTGCTCCTCGGTTATATTGCTACCGTAGTTTATAAGTCTTGGAACGGTTAAGTTCCCAATTACCACATAAAATCCGGGAAAAATATCCCGCCCGTGACGCAAATCTTTTAGATATAATAATGTTTGTAAGGCACAGAGTCTGATAGCACGAAGCGGTTATAACAAATAATTACCAGTCAAATGGAAGACAAAGCCATAAATTTAACCATAAAGCGGTGAGAGTTAGCATAACTTTATGTAACGCAACAAAAACAATTTAATTGTCTTTGTTGAGTTAGCTCTCAACTACTGAAAACTGAATAATTTCTATTACAGCTTCACAGATATGAAAAAACAGCTGCAGTTTTTTAAATCTATACTAATATTATAAAGCTGAAGAGTTTGTTTGTTTGTTTGTTTGTTTGAACGCGCTAATCTCAGGAACTACTGGTCCGATTTGAACAATTATTTCGGTGTTAGATAGCCCATTTATCGAGGAAGGCTATAGGCTATATATCATCACGCTAAGACCAATAGGAGCGGAGCACCAATGAAGAATGTTTCAAAAACGGAGAAAATTTATTACTATTGAGAGACGCAGACAAAGTTGCGCGGGTCAGCTAGTTTATTATAGTTATACCAGCGACCCTCCCGGCTTCGCACAGCTGTAATGTAGATATTTTTAATACAATAATAGTTCGACACACTCATATTACTAATAAATATTAATTGACTGCCTCGGTAGTACAGTGGTAGCGTATTTGACTGCAGTGCTGAGGCCTCGGGTACGATTCCCGGGTCGGACTAAATGTTTTTATGATCTGCAAATATTTGTTTCAGAGTTTGGGTGTTTTCTATGTATAGTATGTATTCATTTACAAAAAAAAAGTATGTAAGTATTCTATCAGTCAATCTAGCTGTCAAAGTACAATATCTGGTTACGAAAATATTATTATTTTTATATCAATAGGAAAACATATTATATGTGTTTAGGAAAAAAAAAATTAAAATAAGTTCCGTTTAGTTCTGATTTGGAGATTTAATAAGTCCTAGAATATTATTATTTTTGGTAATTATTATATTATAGGTATATGTATAGTATATGTCCGGTTAGTGATAAAAAGACCTCCACCGTATACACCTATCAAGTCTTTCTATGCGATACCCAAAGGTTGACTGGTAGAAAATGCAACTTTGCATTTTTAAATGCGTCCTATTTAAATAAAATGCAGGAACATTGATACATTCAATATGAATATACACAAATAACCTTATTACAAGTAGAAGTTTCTAGAATTCATACAATCGGTCTCGGTTATTTCACGCCTTTAAGACAATTAAGGTGCCATTGTCTTATAGGCATTTGTAATTGTCAGTATTCATTTATCATAAATATTTTATAATAAGTCTAATGTCATCAGTTCATCAGTTTTGACAGATGTGGCTGACATAATCTTTTGAGTGTTGTTGAATAATAGGAATAGAGAAGGGAAAAGAATAAAAAACCGGACAAGTGCAATTCGGACTCGTCTACTCGTACATTTACAGAATTTAATTACAAATGTATAGTTTTCAGATTTTTCGCTAAACTTGTAGTATGAGACGGTATTACTTGCCAAATTTTTTAGTATACATTTTGATTCCCTTGAGTGTCAAAATATGCGTTTTTTGTGGCAAAACCTGCCGTTACGTTAACTTAGAAATTTGATATTTTCACAGCTTCTAGAGACTGTAGATCTGGGTATATCGCTTTAATTTCAACTCTATACCTCAACGCGTTCTCGAGATAAATTATTCTTGACAGTCAGACAGGCGGACGGACAGACAACAAAGCGATCCTATAAGGGTTTCCATTTTATTTTGAGGTACGGAACCCTAAAAAGCGAAGAATTTTAGCTTAATATTATTGAAATTTAGAAAGTCTGCTTTTAGTTTCAGGGCCAAAATGGTTGCGATAGTCTGGAGTTTGATAACAAAATAAAAGTGCGAAATTAACTTTTTATTCCTTTAACAAATAAACGGCGAAATCTCAACAACGTTATTGAAATAACACGAATAATTTTGAAAGGCTTAGAATTTACATTAAATTCCACTTTATTACCAAAGTGGTAAAGGTATTTAAATTAAAAAAAATGGAATTTTATTAATGCATGTAATAATACAGTACTATCTCATTATTAATAGTTACCATTCACAGGAGATAAATTATTTGAATTAAAACTTGAATAATTTCAAGAGAAAAACTAAAACAAATATTTTCCGAAACTATTAAAATTACATTACTATGTATGCGATTTAAAGTTTCCCTTCTCAAAGGGGATGAATGTTTTTAATTTCGTTTAAGTAAAGAATAATTGTTACGTAGATACATTAACAGACCTACAGCGCTGACAACACTAGAAATAAATTGTGTAATCCAGACAAAGAACTGGAGTATATCTGTTTCATCTGTTTCATAACGCGAAGTAAATTCTATACTTAGAGGAAATACAAAAACGATGGTTCGATGACAGTAATGTAGTAATCATTTCATACTTGATTCCAAGACTATTGTAAACTTTTTGAACGTGGTTTCAATGGAACACGGAAGCAGTAGGATCTGAGATCTTAGTGCTAAATTAAGATGGTGGTGATGGTAGTTTTGCGTACTTAGCACATTTTATTTGGTAAATTTATTTCGATGCCCAACCAGGTCAAGTAAATGTGATGAGCACGACCATTTGTTTTGTATCTGGG